TTCCCAGGATAGCATTGTAAGGGGAGGGGGTGTCAATTATGATGAACTCAGTTTTTACCTTCTTGGTGCCAGCCTGCACCTCCAAACTCACTACTCCCAGGGGCCACGTCAGCATCATTGAACCAAACCATTGGACCATTGGATTGTTCCAGATCGTTTTGATGAAGGCCAAGCTCCTTGTAACACCTAGCATATATGATGTCACAAGAGCTACCCTGGTCGATCAGAATTCGCTTTACCTGGTACCCTCCAATTTGAAGGGATATTACCAAGGCATCGTTGTGTGGATGCTGCACCATCTCTAGGTCCTCTTCAGTAAAGGACACCACTGGTCCTTGGCACTCGTCTGCCCTAGGTCTCTTCTGCCGGACCTGATACACATGTTGCAAGTGTGTTACCTTCTAAGTTTTCCCACATATCTCGTTCTCATTGACCTTTGAGTGGATCACATTGATCACTCGAGGTCCGCCTGCTTGCGGCTGTGGTACTAGAAGAGGTGGTGTTGCCAGTGCTTGAGGCAGTCTCGCTTGCTCTTTCCTTGTCCTGGTCTCATCTAGCAAGTCCCTTAGATGACCTTGTCTTACCAGGTCTTCCAGATGCGCCTTTAGGGCTCTGCACCCTTGAGTTAGATGTCCATTCTCATTATGGTAGGCACAGCGTTTCTCCAGACTGTTTCCTATAAATTCACCAAGAATCCTCTCTGGTGCTCTATAATAGGGCTGATTTCGGATTTTTTCCAAGACTTTGTAGATCGAAATTCGGAATATGGTTGTGACTGCCTGTGTGGCCCTCAATCCTGTCTCTTGTTTATTGTATCCATCATTACCTCGGCCTCGTTTCGGCGAGCTATTTCTCTTCTCTTGTTTTGACGCCTTTGTTCCCGGCATGTCCTCCTCGGCCCTGACATACTTTTCTATCATGGCCATAAGTTCCTCCATCCTTTTTGGTAGTGTCTTTGTCAGTGACTTTCGAAGCAGACAATCATTTTTCAGGCCATTCTTAAAAGACACAATCGTCACCTCTTGGTTGCATCCTGGCATTTGGTTAAACACCTCATAATACCTTTTGGCATAGGCTCTAAGGCTTTCATCCTTGCCAATTCTCAGAGCCATCAGGAAGTCCACCCTCAATGGCTGTAGTTTGTTTGTTACGAATCTAGCCACGAACATCTCGGCTAGGCCCTCCCAGCTTTTCACAGTTCATTTCGGCAACTTGTGAAACCAGTCTGATGCGATTTCCCTAAAGGATGAGGGGAACACTTTGCAGAGCAATGGCTCGTTCCCAATGTATAATGCCATTGAGTTCAGGTACAAGCCGACGTGAAAGTTAGGGTCAGACTTACCGTCGTATATCTGCAATCTTGGCATGTGGAACCTCTTCGGAGCCTCAAACTTGTCCAATTCTACCGAGAGCGGCGTTCTCAACTTGACTGGTGAGGTTACCTGGACATCTTGTCGCTTCCTCTGGAGGTAATCCCTTAAATCCTCCTTGGTTCGTCCAGAAGCTCGGCTATCAACGGATTTCAGCCTTTTCGGTGTGCTACTCCTAGTATCGTTATGGGTCCTCTTAGACCTCCCTCCATTGGTCGTGTCGAAATAAAGCTCATTTCCTTGAATATGCCGATGTTCTTTGGGCTCAGCTTCTTTGGTACGGTGTGTCCTCCGAGAATCTCCCTTCATTGACTCTCATCGACCGACCTCCCTTGAAGGCCAGTGAGAGTGTTCCTTGGTCCTGGTATGCTGGGGAACTAGAGGAACTGTTTTCTGCCCCCTTTTTCGGGCATCTTTTTTGGCCGCTGGAATTGGCGTATCTTGTAACGGAAATGGTGGCTGCATGACGTTGTTCTGCATCATGAAATTGATGATCGATTGCAGGTCTGCCAATTTGTTCGCCATTCCCTTCATCTCGCCGTCCCTCCACTGGCATCTATCTTTCCATACCTGGGGGTCGTCCTCGTTATAATACTAGCCTCGGTCTGACTTCTTTGGTACGTCGCCCTCCTGGCCGACGTTTTTCTCTCCGGGATTCTGATCCCGAGTTTCTTCATTGTAGTTATCCTCCTTTACGTTAGGATCAAAGTGTTTACCACTTCCAGTAGGGATGTCGTCCCCGATCTTCTCTTTCTGTCCGTCGTTGGCCATCTATTCTCCTTTCTTTCCCACAGATGGCGCCAAATTGTGGGTGTTGATTTTCGACCACACTGCCAAACAGGTACTCAGCTGGAGAATACCGGTAGAATAGATTACGCCCGAACGACCTGTCACAGAAAGAAAAGACTCCGTCCATGATTTTTCTACCCGGGGGCACTCCGATGATCAAGTCAGTAATCAATATCTCTCAAAGATAACTAATTGTGCTTAACTCACAAGCCAGAATACAAAAGCGTACCTTAGACCCACGAAGGTGCCTTATTTTTATAGTCAGCACTAACCTGACCCCTGTAGAAGCCTAGCTTCCGTTAGACTCTGGCCCAATGCTCATCCTGGACTCCCCAATAGATAAAAATAAACTCCCTAAGAGTTTTATCCTTATCCAGGCTGAGGTCCTTCCTCATTCTAGGACTCTTATCCCTTATCTGTTCATCTTGGATTCCGGTATCATCGCATCATATCCTCGGCCTAACCGAGATCACCTTGGGGCCATGACCAGGACACGTAGCACCTCGGCTGGCACTTTGGTGCCACCATGGCCACGCGTTGTCATTTACAAAAGTATGCCCCCACACAAACAGATTTGTTTTCTTTAAATGATAGTTTAGAATTAATTATCCTATTGTACAATAATACATTTGATAGCAAAGTGTTAACAACTTATGAATATATCTAAGACATTAATAAAATACAAATGTAACCGAAAATATCAAATTATACATCTAAACAGTCCATTTTAATTCTAAATCAATATCATAACCACAAAATTATGGACAAAATCGTGAAATATGGTTCACTTATTCTAAGAATTAGATTTGAACCATGCATTGAGAAAATCAGAACTAAATAATGTAATTTGATTTGAAACAAATTAGTTTGTGAATTTTTTTTTTTAGTTTTTTCTCAGCCCTAGTCCGTGGTACACATGGGTAGGGCTCAACCGTGAACTACCTGAGGGCAAAGATACCAAACAATCCAAGCAATCCAAAACCCAAATTATTTATATATAAAAATATTAAATGTATTATTGGATAATGTTAAAATAATTTAGATAGTTAGACCATAGATATTCTATGCACATGCAACAATTTTTTTTTTTTTTTGATTTTTTGGTTTTTTTACTCAAAAATTATAAAGGACGTTGTAGCGGCACTTAGATTATTCAATTTTTATCTCTTTTTATATTATATAAATTATTTATTTTGATATTATTAATAATTTTATAAGAATATGTAAATATAGTCTAATTTTAACAAATTAATTAATTTAGCTTACACTGAAAAAAAAAAGAAAAAAAAACTCTCAAATTTATGTACAATTCTGACCTAACACAAATTAGGTTTGAAAAGACAATTTTCGATTATAACTCGAGTTAGATGAGCCTGAGCAACTCCCAACATAATTCATGCTAAATTTAGACAACCTCTAAACCTTTATTTAAAAAAAGCAACCTTGTAATCAGTTTAAATCTATCCAAGTTGCACCTAAGATTGTAAATGAACAGAACCGTTTATAAACAGGCTCGAACTCGGCTCGGTAAAAACTCATTCAAGAGCATGTTCAAACTCAGTTCGTTAATTTTTTTTTTGCGTTGGAGCTCGAGTTAAAATTCGAGTTCGTTAAATTTTTAATAAATAAGGCCAAACATTCTAAAACTCGGCTAGTAAGCTTCGCTCGTTAACTGGTCATTTAATAGTTATTATTTATATATTAAATAATGTAAATATATATATATATATATAAGATATATATACTATTCATATATTTAAAAAATATAAATGTAAATAATAATTAACTACAGATAGTACATTTATATAATAGTGATAGTAGATATTATTATTTTGACAAAAAAATGACTTTTTTTTAGTATATTTATATATATTTTATATATAATTGTATAATTAAAATTTTAATTGTAATTTTAGTCTCATGCGTAAATATGAATTTATAAATTTGTTAGTTCATTAAGACTCGTGAATAGACTCAAACTCGAGTTAAGTCTAAGTCAATTAGACTCAAAATTGATTCGTTAAATTTTTATGAAATTTAAATTTTTTAAAATCTTAATAAATAAATCTAAGGGTGAGTTTGTTTTGAAGGATTAGGGGGTGAGATTGGACTATTAGTCTCTCCGGACTAATAGTCCATTGTTTGTTTTATTTTTTTGCTCTGGACTATTAGTCCCACAAATATGGGACTATCCTATCCCATGGGGAGAGGTGGGATAGAAACCATTGAATTGGTATCCCATGGGATTATTTTGTGAAATGTTCATTTTACCCTCCATGCTATTACTTAGCAAACAATTAGAAAAGGATAAAATAGTCTTTTGAATATTTATAAATTATTTTTTTAGTATTGTTAAAAAATTAAATTTACATATTAAATTAAATTATTTTTTTAGTGTTGTTAATTTAAAATTATATATTAAATAAAAAATATAAATTATAAATTATAAACTTAATTTAATTGAAAATAATAAATTAAAATAATTAAAATATTGTGCAAAAAATAAAATAAAACAAATTTTTATTTAATCTAACTAAAAATAATTAAAATATTAAAACTATGTTTAATATTGTTATTACTTAGTAAATAATTAAAAAAGATAAAATAGTCATTTGAATATTTATCATTCTCTATAATATCCCAAATAAACATTAAATAACTAAAATTAATCTAAACATCTAATCACATAAATAAACATAAAATATAAATTTAATCCAACTAAATAATCCGAAATAATATATTCCAACACTAATAATTCAATAAATTACCATCCATTCTTATCCGGTCCGTCCAAACAGGCGAACGCTAAATTCAGTTCGACTCAGCTTGTTTGCAGGCTGGACTGGTCCCAAATTATAAATAGCTCCACCAGAGGCTATTCTTATGCTCCAATTCGAGAACTGGACTTCTCCAATTCGGATCCAAACGAGAACAATCAACATAAACAAAGCTTTCTTCAGAGCTCTATGAATCTCAACGCGGCAAGGGAGAGAGATAGAGTTGTCCCCACCGTTGATCCCTTCGACTTAGCAAAAGTCAATCATCACTTGTTGAAGAAGAAGAAGAAGAACAAGAACAACCCTTTTTCTTCACAACGATATAACAAAACCCTCAGAAATCCAAACCATTGATCCATATCTACACAACCACAAGACTATTTTTTGTGAGCTCTCTCTCAAAAACCCTAAAATACATGTTCATATATGTATGTATACATATACATATGAAGTAGCATCATCATCATCTTCATTTTCATCATCATCATCATTTCGATAAACCATGATCAACGCAAACACTACAACTATGATGTCCTCTTCATCATCATCGGCGGCGAACAACGCGCAATCACCGGGTCTGAAGACCTATTTCAAAACCCCAGAAGGCCGTTACAAGTTACAGTACGAGAAGACACACCCTGCTGGTCTCCTTCACTACACTCATGGCAAGACCGTCACTCAGGTTAATCAATCTCCATACCCATTCTTCAAATTCGTGTTTTGAAATTTTAACCCATGTTGGAAATTGATTTTGGGAATCAACCCATTTGGTAGAATTCGATTTTTTTTGTTTTGTTTTGTTTTGTTTTGTTTTGTTTTATAGTTTCCATGTGCTTTTCTTAATAGGCATTCTCAAAATCGAATATTTGATATGAAATTGTTTTGTTTTTCGTGTCAATTTGAAATGTTTTGAGTAATTTGGATGATTTTGTGAGAGGAAGTTAGTTTTGTTTTTATTTTTATTTTCATTTGTATCCAATTTTTCAAATCAGTATTAGAATTCTAGGCATTGTTTACACTCATGTTTTTCCATTTTGGAGCAATATTCAAGCAATTTTTTTTTGTTCACTTTGATTATTTTGATATCTGGTAGTTACTATTTTTTTCCTCTAATTTTTTGTCCAACCCTTCTCCAAAATCAAAATTTGGGCTCTGTTGTGAACTGTTCCTGGTTAATTTTGTTTGTCAGGTGACTCTAGCTCCTCTCAAAGATAAGCCAGCTCAGGCCGCACCATCAACGTCATCAAGTATGGGCGTTAGCAGTGGTGTGAGATCAGCAGCAGCGAGGTTCTTAGGTGGTGGGAATGGGAGTCGGGCACTTAGTTTTGTTGGAGGCAATGGCGGGACTAAGTCTGTAACTGGGACTAGTAGAGTTGGATCACTGGGGGCTTCAAGTTCTTATAGTTTGATGGGTACTTCAAATTTTGATGGCAAAGGAACTTACTTGGTGTTCAATGTTGGTGATGCAATTTTCATTAGCGATTTGAATTCTCAAGATAAGGTAGTTTGGTGTTCATTTGCATGCTTTTTTTTTTCCTGAACTGGCAGTCTTTCCATTGTGGATACAATTTTGTGAACTTCGTTGTTCAATGCAGGATCCTATAAAGTCTATAAATTTTAGTAATTCGAATCCTGTTTGCCATGCATTTGACCCGGATGCTAAGGATGGGCATGATTTGCTTATTGGATTGATATCTGGAGATGGTAATTTTTTTTTCTTGGTTCTTAAAAGATTGAAATTTTGATGAGCAGCTTTGTACTTTCTTGAGTTATAATTTCGTTTGTGTTTTTTTGTAGTTTATTCAGTGTCACTAAGACAGCAATTACAAGATGTTGGGAAGAAGCTTGTTGGAGCCCAGCATTATAACAAAGATGGTTGTGTTAATAACAGGCAAGACCTTAACTATCCTGACCCTATGAATGAATGCATGATTTCTAGTCACTCTTCACTATGAAGATTGCTAAATTTTCAGATATAGACCTACTCTGTCTATGTAAAGATTGTCTTATTTCAGCACTTTTTCATGATGAATGTTGTTTATTGATGAAAAAATGATCACATATTCGTATGTAAGGTCATTTTAGGGAAGATAATGGCTTGATCAATGAGTGATATTTTCACGTTTATGGTTTTTTGAAGGTTCTTAGGCCACGTTTGGGAACAGGCTAATTTAGTAACTTTTTGGCTATTTGGCTAAAAAGGTAGGTAAAAAAAACTTGTATGTTTGGGATGACTTTTTGGCTAATTACGAAAAGATGTGCAAAAAGTAGAGAGAAAAGAGAATTTTTGACTTTTTGGTATGGGTTGTTGGCTTTTTGGCTAATTTAGTAACTTTTTGGCTAATTGGCTAAAATAGCCTCTTGCCAAACGAGGCCTTAGTATCCTATTTTGACTTTGTTCTCATGTTTGGTATTGCTACCATTAATGTGGAAACATGAAATTGAAAGTTCACAGTCCCAAGGGCTGCACCTGCCTGTGTTTAAAAGTGTAGCAGAACAAGCTGTTTATCCCTATTCACTAATCAACCCTTCAGTTATCCCATATAAATCCTAAATCATTCTATATTCTTACCACCCTTTCAGCCACAAAACTATTAATTTCAGTCCTAAATCTGGAGCTCTCCGCTGCTGCCTTTAGGAGAGTGTACCTCACACTTGTCCTATGTCAAACAGCACGGGTAATTGCCCACCTAAAAGCTGTTGATGTTGTCAGCCATGTACCTTTGGTAGACTACCAGATTGCCTAGTGTCATGATTCAAACTTTTGAGTAGCAAATGGCTATCATTAGTGCCACATGTGTAGTAAGTCAACCAAAATAACGAGCAGCAGAAAATGTTATCCTCATCGAGAAGCAAGCAAATAGAAACAGAAAAGCAACATGACTGACTGTGTAATGACCCTGTTTGGGACATAGATACCCTCTGCCAGGTGTCTTCGTTTCGCAAAGATAGTATTGTGTGTTGAAGTTGAAAATAGAAAACTCGGCAGAAAGGTAAAGAAGAGTAGATTTCACCTTTTAACTTTAATGCTATAGACAAATGAAAAGCTATGATCTTGATTAAGAATTCATGTCAAATTTTGGATGGTTGTTTAAATTGAAGACAAGTAAAAGTATTGCCCTTCTGCATTATGTAGCTGTGGTTGTTGGAAGATTGGGAGAGGTTAGTGTAGATTTCACATGCAATAGGAAGGAAAAAAAGGGGTGTAGATTATACCTTCATGTGGTTTACTAAATCTTTTTTTTTTGTTGTTTTTGTTTGTTTGTGTGTGTGTGTGTGTGTTCATATGCAAATTAATTCTTAAATGGTGCAGAAGTTTTTCAGTTTAGAATTATCAATAAGTTTTTTTTTTGTGTGTGTGTGTGTGTGTGGAGCTGCAGCATTCCGCACTGGCAAATTATATGCTTATGATTTTTTAATGTTATTGGATTGGATATCGCCTTGAAAGTTTAGTATAATTTTTAGGAAGCTTTTACCTTTTACCATCTTGTTCTTGGTAATCTAGGATCCTTAACTTTTGATGATGTTCTTGGTTATTTAAAAATAAAAAATAAAAAATTATTATGTATATCTGTAAGTGATAGCCTGTATACTTTGTATGAGTTTGTTTATCCAATACAGAAATAGTGAGAAATGTGTGCAAGAAATTCATACATGTATTGCTTGGGTGGTAGAAAGTCTATACATGAATTTTTCCCCTCCGATTGAATGATCTGCTTGCTTTCAACAGTCGTTGTACAAGTATTGCTTGGGTGCCTAATGGAGATGGCACTTTCGTTGTGGCTCATGCAGATGGAAATTTGTTCGTGTATGAAAAGGCAAGTTTTAAATATTACTATTAGGAAACAGTTTTCAGGGTTTCCTTAACTCTTATTCTTTAAAGTGCAGTGAACTGATTTTGTGCTTTATTATAATGCTTTTTTTCTTTTCTTTGTCTTTTTTCTTTTCAGAACAAAGATGGTTCTGGTGATCCTTTATTCCCCATTATCAAGGATCAAACTCAATTTTCTGTTTCACATGCACGTTACAGTAAGGTACTGGTTGATGCACGCTTATATGTGTTTCCCAAACTATTTGGGATATGTTTTTGTTATGCAAATCATTCTTCCTATTTTGATTTTCTTTCTTTGCATCTGGTATCTACGATTTTTCCATAAGAAAGTTTTGACATGTGCTTGGTATGCTAAACATGCTATAATCAAGAAGCAAAACATCTTTATAAATTGAAGATATAACATTACACGCGACATGTAGCACCGTGACAGGAGATTCTAGAAGTTTCAGTCTGTTTCGACTGCATGCGTTTTGTTGCCTATTGCAGGCTGGCCAAACTCCCTTTTCTATGGGTGCATCATAGACTTAATAATGCATTGATTTGTAGGAGTGGCTTAATCCAAGTTGAAGGTGCCAAAAGGACAAGAGTGAGCCAAGGAAAACATGGGGTGTTGGTTTGAGAGAGGACACCATTTGCTTCAAATGACGATATGGATTAGAGTTTATAGTTGGCTAAATAAGAAGAATACCTGGCTGATCACAAGTAGTTGGGATGAAGGTTTTGTTGAGTGAAGTTGAGCCTAGTGCATTACAGATGTTGCAAAGCCACCTCCATCAGGAAAAAGCACAAACACACGACACAACATGGATATGTTGACACATCGATTTTGAAAAAATGCAAAACACAACACGCTTGTGACACATTAAAAGTTTATATTTTTACAAATTTATTTTATGTCATATATGTGAATAGTTATTCAAAGAAAATGAAAAATATGTAACATAACACTTAATACATTAAAAGTTATATATTTCATAATACAGAACGTTGTTATTCTAAAGGGATTGATTACATAAGATGTGTTTAGGGGGTTGAAGCAGTATCGCCAAAGTGTCCGCAAAGTATCGGTAAAGTATCTGATATTATGGATTTGATTTTTTAATTAAGACATGTTGAAGAAGTTTCAGGCACTTATAAGAGTGTCGGTGTCCAACACCACAATTCCTCCACAGAAGTGTCTTAGGTCAAAATGAACTCAATAAATCTTAGGTGCCAGTTTGATGCTTTTAGATTTTAGGGTACAAGCTGAACCTAACCTAAAGTTTTTGGGTTTCAATGCCTGCCCTTCACCCTATATAACAATATTCACTAGTAGTAAGCATGGGAATTTGTCTACTATCTTATTCTTCAATGATTGTTTAAAGGTTTCAATGACATTGTGGCATTTTTGCACTGACTTAACAAAAGATTTAAAGGTGCAAGTGCCTTTTCTAATTAAGTTCGTATGCGGTTAGTTGTTTCTTTCATTTTCATAATGTACATTGTGACATCGTTATTTTTCAACTATTGGGTATTTTGGCTCATGGTTACATAATGCTAATGAGGGGAGATGGTGAAATTTTAATGCTTTTCTCCCATGACCATATAGATGGTATTAAGTGAAGAACTATGTCAGTGCTTCTACCTTCTGTAAGTTCATTGATGGTTTTGTGCAGAACCCAGTTGCTAGATGGCATATTTGCCAAGGTTCAATTAACAGCATTGCCTTTTCAACTGATGGGACGTATATTGCGACTGTTGGAAGAGATGGTACTGTCTTGATTCCTTGTGTGTCTCACAGATTTTTTTTTTCTTTCTTTCTAAATTTACCTTCTTTTCCATTTGTATTTATTAGTGGTATATATGGGCTTTAACTAATCAATGAATGTAGGTTATCTTCGTGTATTTGACTACAAAAATGAACAACTGATATGTGGTGGCAAAAGCTATTATGGTGCTGTATTATGTTGTGCTTGGAGGTGAGAAGCTTTTGTGGTTTTCCTTTCATAATAGTTTATGCCCTTTTATTGTTGTAGCTTTTCTTTCTTTTTGTAAAATGATACTGTTTTTCCTAGGTGTTGTTTTTAGACTAGCTATTAAACCCATTTAAAGAGAATAGTATTATTGACAACCACTGCTACTCAACAGCATGGATGGAAAATACGTTTTGACTGGAGGTGAAGATGATCTAGTTCAAGTTTGGAGCATGGAAGATCGTAAGGTTGTAGCATGGGGTGAGGGACACAACTCATGGGTAAGTTTCTTTCAATAAATGGTATTAGTTCATAGTTTCCTCTCAAGCGCCATGACTTCCACATTCGCTTTGATTGGAGGGTGACAGGTCAGTGGAGTTGCTTTCGATTCATATTGGTCGTCGCCAAATTCGAATGGCTTAGAAGAAAATGTTATGTACCGATTTGGTTCTGTTGGCCAGGTATCTTATTAGTCTTTCATTATTGTCAGTGATAGTTGAATATCATATTTCGTGGATGCATACTCACATAATGAATATCATATTTCGTGGATGTATACTCACATAATTTCTTTTTTCATACTGTTAAATATTATTGATTAAATGGTTCCTTGTCATCTAGTGTTTGTGAAAGTCTTTGCAACTGAGACCTAGAACTCCATATCAGATTTGACAGTTCTCAGTGGTCTTGGCACTTGTGATTTCTTTGATCTTTATAATTAATCTGGCTGGTTGTTAGAGGTAATTAGTTGCAATTCCTGGTCAACAATACACATTAGGCTGAATGTCATAATGTAAGAAGCATGAACACGGATGCAAACACAAATAGAGACATGGAACACGAAAATTTTGAGAAATTAGGATATGGACACGGTGAAAATATGAAATTTATTTTATTATATATATTCTTATTTGATATGTATATGCATATAAATTTAGGGAACATATATAAGAAGCATCATTGTATATGTGGGTGTATCTTTTCTTTTCTTTTTTTTTTCCCTTCACTTTCCTCTTGTATTTTCATATATTTTGCTTTGATCCCAAATCATCTTTCTTAATTATAAAAAAGAAAAGAAAAAGGACTAAGGTGTCTTGAGACATATCTAAACACAGTCGCATGTCTGTGAAGTGTCTTGCAAAAAAGTAATAATTAAAAAAATTGACATGTCACATGGTGTGTCCGACATGTGAACACTTGTGTCCCCAGCATGTCGGTGTCCATTAAGTAATCCAATACAGACATGGCACCTATTTTGAAGTGTCAGGTGCTTCATAGGTCATAATGATTTTTGATGCTAAACAATGACAGTGGTATGGCTTAAAAATTGTGAGGAGTTTCATTAGACTTTCTACTATGAATCTCAAGCATGACAGTGAAATTTAGGATAAGCAGAGACTAGAATTTTGAGGATAGGTAGCACATAGAAAATGATAAATGATCGCCAGAAATCATTAGGAGACCTAGTAGAAAGTCATGATTATGATTCATATAAATTTAGGATAAGCAGTGACATTTAGGATAAGCTGAGACTATTGATTGTTTATCATTTTCTGTTTATGTTCTATCCTCAAAATTCTTTCTTCTATTATTGTGAGTTGATTCAATTATTTATTTTATTTCATAATATATTGCCATTTTATGATGCCTAAGAAAAAAATTATGTTTCACCGCCATCTTGTGACGTCTCTAAATTTGGGCTTATCATTGCTTCTGTCGTTGTTCACAGTTTGATTCTGTTTTTTATAAGTATTTCTATCATCATTGTATGCTTCCGTTAATGTCTTTTTTCATTTCACAATTTAATGTTATTATTGTGCAGGACACGCAATTGCTTTTGTGGGACATAGAGATGGATGAAATTGTTGTGCCACTACGCCGAGCTCCTGGTGGGTCCCCCACTTACAGCACTGGAAATCAGTCCGCTCACTGGGACAGCGCTTGCCCAGTGGGTACTCTGCAAACCGCGCCAAGCACACGAGATGTTCCAAAACTCTCCCCACTGGTTGCACACCGTGTTCACTCCGAACCCCTCTCTGGTTTGGTATTTACTCAGGAATCTGTACTTACTGTCTGCCGAGAGGGACACATCAAGATTTGGATGAGACCTGGATTTTCTGAAAACCAATCGAACAGCTCTGATTCTGCGTTGAGCACGAGTTTGAAGGAGAAGTCATTGCTGTCGGGAAAAGTTGGTAGTTCTAGTTACAAACCGTGATGAAACAGTGATTAGAAGTGAGACATAAGCGATCTTTCAAGAAGTCCCGTTTCTACATGATGTTTTGGTTGTTCCTTCCTTTTCATCTGGTTGTTTTGCTCGGAAATGGCAAAGCCTGCATAGCATGCGTGCATGGAGACTAAAAATGGCTTCCATTGTATATCGAGGGATGAAAATGCAGTTGATATCATCGTATGAGATTGAGAAGACACTGCCCAACCTACCTTGTAAGCTTGGAATGGCTGAGCAGAATAATGGACGTTGCTTCTTTCAAATATATAATCTGCAGGTTTTTTCTTTTTTTTTTGGTGGGGGGTGGGTGCGGGGGGTGCGCTTTGACCCCGATTTTTCTTTTGAAATTGCACAGTTTCTTTTCTTGTCTTTTCGTCGGAAATTTATTTTTCTCTACTTTCTTGAGGGATTGGAATTGGATAGTTGTACACTTTCAGTTTATATCCAATTGCTCAAATTCTGGTGGTCAACAGTGAATATATCATGCAATTGGTCACATGAAATAGGTAGATTGTATGAAGCAGGAGCAGTTAAGGCTGTGTTTGCATTGTGGATTTAGATGGAACAAAAAAAAAAAGAAATTGGAAAATATAGTTACTTTGCATACTTATTTGGGTAAATTACACCAACCGTGCATAAGATTTGAAAAAAATACATTTAAGTCTGACAAGTTGGCATTACGCTGGTTTTAAAGTTTTAATTTACATAGTTTATTTTTCATTAATAATTGGTTGTTCATAGAAAAATGAAATTTAACTTATTTATATTTACAGATGACTAAACCAACAAACAAAATTTTTTTTTTTTTTTTCTGGGGGGGTTGGTGGTGTTGGAACACTTGTACTTTCAGTTTCATGCTCTATTCCTATCACAATTCAAGATTCAAACAACCTTATGCTAACTGCAGTATGAAATTATATCCAAGCCAAATTCAAATAAAAGATGATTCAGTGTACAAGATTTCTATTAAAGCGGGATCTAAAAAGAATAAAATATAGACGGGTTGTCACCTCGATGATCTGAAACTAATTGATGGAGTTATATGGAGTATCCAACATTGATAATAACGCAACAGAATATGATATATCATTCAATCAAATGCTTAGCTGTATGGTATGACAAACTTCACAATTCACTCAACTGGGAAAGAAAAGAAACAAAAGCTTATATAGTCCATGCCTGTACAATGTCATTGATTACTTGAACACACGAGAGCTCGGTTCAAATATCCTATTGGGGCTACAAATGCACACAAGGTTTGGAGTCCAAGTCTTCTCCAGAAACTATAATTCAAAACAGTCTTGAACTATTGATTGAAGAGATTGAGAAAAAACTGGACTGTACAGTTGCACTGAGAGAAACCAAACTTGATATTTTCATCCAAAATTTACATACAGCTTGGAGCTGTAACATAACATCGAATCAGCTGCCTCACTCAATTCTGGAGTCCACGGTTTCAGTTTCGGTGGGAGGATTTGTTTGTGGTATATATGCAGTTTCAGGCAACTGATGTGGCTGGGTTACCTCTTGAGAACTTGGTTGTTGATTTAACCAAGCTTGCCATCGTCTTCTCAATTTTAAAGTCTCAAGAAGAATAGCAGTCCCACTCATTGCGCCTCCAAATCCAGCAAGCGTCGCAAGAAGAACTGAAAGTGCAGCCTGCACATGAAGCTGTAGCTCCCACACAAGCATATAGAAACATTTAGGTTCCACTTGGATAAATGAATTTCAAATGAACGGATTGACTATTATAGATAGATTAAGAAACTATAATGGTAGAGCAAGATGAGAAATATATTATTATGATCTTTGTACGACTGTAATCTTTTAGCACAGGATTTCAACATAACTACTTTTCACATTTCTATTTCAAATCCATCATAATCTATCATGGTAAAGCTTTCAATTCAATCTTGAAATCCAGATCTGAACCATCATGACTAAATTTGCCTATTCTCTTTGAATTATAACCACCCAAATCAATTCATTTCAAACCCATAAATCCAAACGCAACCTTAACATTAGAGGGAACCACTTTGTTTGCCTTTTACAATATTAGACAACTATGTTCAAATATTGTTTACCCCATTCATGAGATGGATTTAAATAAGTCAATTAGGATGACAGAAAAGTTCAGGAAGATCAATATAAAGCTCTTACAATATAAAAACATTTTGACGCCAACTTCAACTAGGTCAGTTCCATTGTCCGAATAAATCGTTTATTTCTATCTTCACTTAAGTGACTCTTACCAGTGAATAGAAAAGGTGACCAAAGAGAACGACAAGTGCAAACTGAATAGTTGCATACAGCCAGGCATATTTTCTCCTCACTAAGCATAAATTGCAAAGATATATTAGTGGAGTATCAAAGATGCAAAACTCATGCTGGCAAAAGGGTCGACCAAAACATAAAACTTAAAAACTTTAGCTACCCATAGTTGTTGATGTCATGGATGCAAGGAGACCCAACATGCAGGAAAATGGCAGGGATATGGCAATTGCACCCGATCCCATTTTCGTAACCTGCAGACAGAAAGCACATATTAGGAACATTGGTAGGCTTGAAAGTGTTGTAACTAGAAGTCACGAAACTTACCAAAAGCTGCTCTAGAAAACAGAAATAAGCTAGCATGCTGACAATGATGAGAACAGGAACATCCTGCCAAACTCTGATAAAAGTCACATTGCTTTAATTATACAGATTTGAACATCAACTCATATTAAAATTAACAGAAATTCTCAAATTAAAATGATATCAAGATAAAATTAAGGTTGACAACAAGCTAAAGACCAACATCTAGTAATCAGCATTTTACTGATGGCATTGTTCTCAAATCCCAATTGATTGAAAATGATTTCAATTAAGTTAAAAGCCTGTTTGGTACAGCTTCTTGCAAGTTGAAAGCTAATAATCAAGAAAGCATAAGCTAAAACCCCCTCTCCTGCTTCCTAATAATTAGTTTTTTTTTTCTTTTTTTTTCAGCTTATTGAAACTATTTTTGTCTCATATGCTACGCCATAAGAAGCTGTGCCAAATAATCTGCCACAAATTATAAAAAAAAAAAACTATAAGCAGCTCCATAAGTTGCACCAAACAGCCCTGGAAAGGGGCTCCACCCAGCTTTTGAACTCATTTTTTTAGCTCCTCAAATCATGAAATGGACTAGGTAATATACCACCACCCTTAACGAATAATAAATAAGTGAAGAAATGTAAACTGGAAAAAAACAAAATAAGAATGGGTTCCTTTTCCCAGTGATTGCGAGAGAAAATATCATTAACTTGCCTGTATTGAGCAATTTCAGCTTGCTGAGCTCTATTACCGCGCAAGTTATGGGCCTGAGCATTTTGAATTCGTAAAAGGGTGACAGGAAGGTTCTGAACCTCTTGCTTGCACACATCACATGTCTTGTTACCTTTGATGCTAAACCATTTTACAGCACATTCTTGGTGGGCCAATGCAAGCTCACCTTTGCAGCTACATTCCATCTTAAGGGTGTCAGCACCTTCTCCAAGTTCAACTAAACAGATCCTACAAACAGCTTCTTCTTCAGGAATATCTTCAGCATGCTCATCATTTTCATCTGAACCACAAGACCTTTAAGGCATAGGTTGGTTATCGCAAGCTCAAAAAAGTTATATCACAAGCGCAAACTGTAAACTAGTAGAATCCCAGCATTTAAAATCGAAGAAACTTGGTTTCTGAATGTAGTTTAAGAGGATTTGCCAACTAATATCGATGTTAATAACTTGGTAGCAGGAAACTCCTTAGATATGATGAGAAATTTCTCACAAAAATCATCAGCGTTTATACCTGTTGGCTTATTTGCAGAGTTCTAGCAGTTGTAATTATAAAATTGGTTGTCACTGGCCCAGCAAATCCAAAATAAGGTAATAAGCATTTGTTGCAGTCAAAACAGTGATGTCTTTGGGCCGTGAATGAACCATAGTTTTCTAGATACATCACTGCCACAAATGGGATTCTCAGAACCTTGTAATGGAGCCCAGTCCACTTGACACATTGAGTCAATTCTTCAGGCTCTTATGCGACTTCGGGATGTAAATTGTGAAGTTAATTGACACTAAGTTGTATTTATAAAAAAAAAATTAAAAAATAAAATAAAAAAAAAAAGGAGAAGAAGGAGAAGAAGAAGAAAATTAGGAAACAATTACCAGCATCTTTTGTTGGAGTTGAGGTCATTGTTGCAAGAGTTCCTCCTGCCACCCTTGGGGTAGTGGGAACGACACGAAATACACCATTTAATGAATCACTCTGCCTAATGCTTCCATCTTTGTTTAATACAGGGACTGAGCGTGAACGATGAATAGGAAGCTGAGTCCCACTTTTCTGTAGAGCAAAGAATTTTGTAAAAATCGACTAGCAATTTTTGATAAAATGATATTGGAAGGGAAGCCCAAAATAAGTGGACCACGTTGATGACAAAAGAGCAATAGGACACCAATGTGGTGGAACTTTAAATGCCACCTCTAAGTGTTACCATGGAACTATAGGACTCCACTTAAGTGTGCTCTGAAACAATGAATTTGAGGGCGGGAAACTTTGGATTTTGACGTAATTAAGAATTTTATGACTGATCAAGAAAAATCATGAAAGGTTGGCAAACTGGAGGTAACGATGATAATTGTGAAGAGTTTAGAATGATTTGAAACAAAAATTATAAAATCAAGAAAGAAACTGAATTGGGGAAACAGAAAAAAAAATGTAATAAAAAGAGAGCAGATATTGTCATTTCTGACTTCAAAAGATCTGTGAATTTTCTGATCATGATGATTACAATACATGTCAACAGGCATTATCAACGTCCGACAAAGCTAAAATGGGGTAAATACTTACAACATAATCATCAATTGTGTTCCCTCCATGCATAGACTCCGGATTCGAGTGTGCAATTGGGGTAACAGGTAAAGATGAAGTTCTCTTCATTTTGGGCGTGAAAAGTTTTGAAAGAGACAATGTCCTCCGAATTAAAGGCTTCTCCCATGTGTCTGCTGGTGAATCTCCCAAAGCTAGGATTGCAGCCCTCTCAATCTCTGAAGTAGTATTACGGAATTTGAAGCTTAGTTTTGGAAAGAGGCTTTTCATGGATGATTTAGCCCTAGTTGACAAGGGACTTGGGGAATCATTGAATCTGTAGTAACTAGGGCTAGGGATTGGCGAAAAATTCACTCTTTTGGGAGTTCGATTTGGTGTCAGGGGTATGTTTATTCGGACAAAATCCTCAGTAGAGCCCTCATTTGTTCTTGAGGGTATCTCTAAGGCAATATTTTGCCTCTGCTGTTGACAGATTGGTTGTTCTTCAATAATTTCACTAGAATCTCCAACCTACAGTATACACGCCATGAAATATGTAAAAGTATGAATTAGAATAAAAATTATAATTGTTATCAATGTGAAGTGCATTTTCAAAGCATAGATTCCAATAATTCTTCATTAATAAATTAAAATGTATAGCATAGCATTGGTAGCTTTTGGGATCTCTAAAACTAATATTTATTTAAGGGTTTTGGTGTGATTGCAATGCTAATACATATAACTAATATTAGAATTCTAATTAGAAGGAATCAAGTCCTGAAGAAAACTGGGTTCTTAAACTACTAGTCATTTCAGAACCCAGATTCTGTAAGATCAAAAGTGAGATACCTAATAAAAGTTATGCTATAAAAGAATATTGTGAAATACAGAACAAAGTAAAATCGAGAGAAAGCTCAAAAAATTGATTAAAATTTGAGAAAATTGGAAGGTACCCATCAAAGAATTTAGACAAAAAACACAGAATTCATTCACATATATGGTAACAAAAGCTACAAATCCAGTATAAAATAAGAAGAAAAAACAATAAAATTGATAGAGAGAGAGAGAGAGAGCAAAATACCTTCAGAGGATCAACTGAGTGGTTGTTGAAAAACCCTTCATCACCCTCCTTGGCCACAGACTCCTGCTCATCACCACCCATATGTATTTTCTGTATACGTATCAGAGGATCTCCAATCAAAGTAGGTAAAATCAAGAAAGAATTTCAATGAGGTGGGGTTTAATATGAAAACAGAGCAAACAGAGAAGAAGAGCAGAGAACCCACAGACAGATTTTGCGTGAAAGTGCCACCGAATTAGAGAGAGAGAGAGAGAGCTGGTTTTTAATGGGAGGCGTGGCCAACTACAGCTAGTTCCACCATGGCCGGTACACAGTACAGACTACAGAGTCCCTTCAACTTTTATTGGGTTAATTACACACTACCCCTTTAACTATTTGTGATTATCATTTTCTCTCTCTAATTATAAAAGGGAAATTCCTAAGGTAATGCTAGCGAGGTATTAAATTTTTTACTAAATAAATAATTAAATGTCTCATGTGAATGTAAAGTCCACAAAAGTGAAGGGTCCACAAGATATTTGGTCATTTATTTAGTAGAAAATTTTGGATCTATAGTATTTTTCAAATTGTAATATACCCCATTTAAAAAAAGATATGCATTCTAATTATGTTATTTTTCTTTATTTATGATTATTTTTTTTTTTAGTTATGATATTAGTTTAGTTGTAATTCATAAATTCTTTAGTTATACCTCATATTGTGGTTAGTTATAACATTTTTTTTTTTTAGTTTTGACTCAAAAAATTAAAGTTATGTCAATTTTTTTTAGTTATAAAATGCATGGGCTGTTTCTCATTATAAAAATATAATCCATCCGTCCAAAAATATTAGTCCCTTTTAAAAAAATTAACTTTTTTAGTAGTATAATTATTACACTTTAAAAATATTAACTTTCCAAAACTAACTTTTGGTAATATAATTATTACACTTCAAAAATATTAATGCTAATGGATTTAAAATAAGAGTAAAATAGGAAATTCATGTTATTTTTTAGCCATTAATTTATGAAAAATAAAATAAGAGACTAATATTTTAGAATTGAGAGAAATATCAATTTTATCCCTTATTGTCCATATCCAAAAAGAGATATTTCTACGATTTTTATTGCTAACAGAGTCAAAGTATATCCAAAAAGAGATATTTCTACGATTTTTATTGCTAACAGAGTCAAAGTATAAGGATTTATAGATGAAAAAACAACGATATAATTAATCTATAATTATTTATTTTTTGACAAATTACAACAGTTTATAAATTAATTCTAAAATATACATAATTTGATCCTATAATCAGACACAACATTTTTATTTGAGGTGGAAGGTTTCACTTCTTGTGAGAGGATAATGTTTGAATTTTATGGCAGTACCTATATAGAACAAGCACATGAGAAGCCCGTGACTATTTTTTTGTCAAATATCCTAACAATCATTTTTAATTAAATCAATTTAGAACAAAATTAAAAATTAAAAGATAAAATTATTTAATTAAAATTACATAAATAGACACAAAAGGTAATCTACTGATAGAGGGTGATGTTTGAGACATGATTTATTTTAGTAATTTTTTACAAAAAAAAATTAAAAAAAAAAAATCGTGTAAAGAAAATAGAGAAAAAAAAAGTTTATTTTTGATTTTTTTTATTTGATCCTAAACACCACCTAAATTCACTGCACAATTCATTATTGTTATAAACAAGGCATGGCAGGCAACAACAAATGCAGAATGATTTTCCTTCTTTGAGGTGCATCTAACCACTAATTTCATTGTACCAAGTTTGTGATCATTTGCTACATTTTATGTATGGTGGAATTATACTACATGCATCAATTAGTGTATTAATTTATATATCAACACTAGTTATGATATTATTATTGACCTCGCTCATTAATTACATTACAAATTCAAAAAACCTATTAAATTATGTCATACCATCAATTGATACACTAGTTAGTATACTGATTAGCGCATATAGCATTATTCTTTTATGTATATTTGTTGGCCTTTTCCCCCAAAAAATAATAAATGTATATTTTTTAGCCCAAATTGGTATATACACTTCTCACTTAATTGTTTTTTACATTTCTCTATCATTGGTCACTGTTCTACAAAAACTTCCTTTGGGAAGTCCATGGGGAAAAATGTTTTGGACCCCATGGAGGGTGACTCCGAGGACCAGTGGTCTGTGATTGGTTAGAATTTTTTTTTTTTTCTTTTTCTAATCACTAATTCTCATGTGTGTGTGTGGGAAGTAAGGGGTCTCTATCATCTTTGTCAAGCGTTATGCTATGGGTTATTTAAATCATCATCATCGTCATTTAAATGATTTTTGAAAATAAAATTAAAAAAAAAAAAAAAAAAGGAGTAAGTTGACGGTTGGCGTAAGTTGACATAACATGACAATCAACTTCATCATTTTCTGTTTAAAAAAAAAAAATCTTCTCATTTAAGATTTATTTATTATTTAAAAAAATATTAAGAAAGTGAGGTTATCATAAATTGACATCATCATTATTGGAAGCATATACTAAGATTATAATTTATGAACAGAGTCTATATGCCACTAAAAAATTTGTACATTAATACTACTCACTCTTTGATTCCTCTTTTTTGGATTTAATTTTTTGGAAATTGTAGAGTTTTTGTTTGGTTATTTAGAAAATCTGAAAAAAAATTCAAAATCTCTTTGGGATTCTTTTTTCAAAATCTCTGTTTGATTCTTTTTTAACATTTTGATACATATATAATATGTACATATATACATGAAACAAATATGATGATACTTTTAATGTGACAATATATATATATATATATATATTTTAATGGTTTAATACATCTTTTAGGCCGGCTCTCTCTCCACTTGTGAGAAAATTTGAATTTGCAATAATGAAAATTTTAAAAAGCTAAATATGTATTCATTTTCAAATCACTTTTTTAAAAATAATTTTAAAAAATGAAACCAAACGTGATGACTAATATTTAAAAAAATAATAATTTATGGGATGGTTATTAAATTTTTCAAAATATTCTTAGGATAAAACTAATTAATGTGTTTGGTTTCAGTTTTCTGAAGAAAAAATATCATTTCACTCCCAAACTTTCACTTGTTTTTCAATTTGATCCTAAAACTTCGATTAATATCAATTTTACACCTAAACTTTCAAAATTTTAATCAATTTGGCCCCTACCGTCACATTCCGTCTATAATTGGATGAAATGTGCTGACATGTAGGGTAAATTGATTTTTAAGATATAGTTTGGGAGGGCAAATTGATTTTTAAGGTATAGTTTGGAGGATAGAATGAAATTTCTAATGAATTTTGGCACCACGTCAGCACATTCCGTCTAATTGTAGACGGAATGTGACGGTAGAGGCTAAATTGATCAAAATTTCAAAAGTTTGTGTGTAAAATTGATATTAATTTAAGTCTTAAGGGTCAAATTGAAAAACGAGTGAAAGTTTGGAAGGCAAAATGATATTTCCTCTTTTTTGAATTTAGTTTTCTAAAATTTGATTTTTTTTTTTATTTTTTGTGTTTTTTTGTTTTTAGTGAATATTTTTTAAGTTTTAAACAATTTTTTTTTTACTTTTTTAGATGTACCTTACTTAGATGTATCTAAATAGTAAATTATTTGTGAAAAAATATTTTAAAAAATTAATAAATACACAAAAATACGAAAATATACTGAATTTTTGTATTTTTGAAATTTAGTATTTTTTAAAAAAATTTACAAATATTATACTTAGTGTATTTATGGTAGGTGTGTCTAAAAATTAAAAAAAAATTACTTAAAATATTAAAAAAATTCAGTGAAAATAAATAAAAATATGAAAAACGAAAAGGTATAATTTTCTAAAAAGTAAATTTCGAAAACTGAAAACAGATGGAGTGAATATATTTTGAAAATATTTTTAATTAATTCTATAATAGGAAGAATTTTTGAAACTTTGAGCGGGTGGACGGTGGCCTCAATCTATTGCACCCTTGGGTCTATGAAATATGAATATTTTGAGAAATATGTCGTTTTCATATTGAATATTTGTTGGCATATGATATTTTGTAGGGTTGGATATAAGATTATTCAAACTGTACAACCCGTCCAATTCGAATCGATTCGCATATAAATGGACGGTTTTACAGACACAATGTGGGAGGATGCGATTTGGAATATGACATTATTGTGAATTGCGGGTGGGTTGCGGGTTTTATCCGCACCCGCAAGAACCCGTCCGCACTTAGACTTTTTGTTTTTTATTTTTAAACCTAGACCGTTGATTTCTTTCATCCTATCCTAGATGGAGTTTGCGAGTTTGCAAATATTTTTATTTTATTTAACGAGTTTGAATTGGATGAAATTTGACAATAATTTATTATTATTTTGTTATTGCATTTTGGGTGAACATAAAAGGTAATGAAGAATTACTTTTAGATAAGTTTAGGATTTTAAATGATTTATTTTAATTATATTGTTGGGTAGTGAATAATTTTTGATGATTTAGTTTTGGATTTTGAAAGATGTACTCGGAAGAACCCGTCCGCACAGACATTTTTTTTTAAAACCTGAACCGTTGACTTCATTGATCCTATCCTAGATGGAGTTTGTGAGTTTGTAAATATTTTTATTTTATTTAATGGGTTTGAATTGGATGAAATTTGACAACAATTTATTGTTATTTTATTATTGTATTTTGGATGAATGTAAAAATTAATGAAGAATTACTTTTAGATAATTTTAAGATTTTGAATGATTTTACTTTAATTGTATTGTTGGGTAGTGAATGATTTTGATGATTTAGTTTTATATTTTGAAAGATATGCTTGTGTTAGTTTATGATTTTATTTAAAAGTTTATGATTTTGAATTATTTGCTTGTGTTAAAAATTGATTTTGTTGTGTTTTCAATTTTATAAGTTTTAATTCATTAATTATTAATGTTAAAGCATTTTATAAAAAAAATTTGGGGAGGGGGGGGGAAGGGTCCAAAATAAATACTTACAAAACGGGAAAAAAGGCCCAAAAATAAATTATTAAAGAAAAAAGTCCAATCTATAAACTACTCGTAACCGCCCGCACATTCGCGAACCCTATCCGCACAAACCGCAACACATATTGCGAGCGGCTGCGGGTTCAATTTTTCCTAAACAGCACATATGCAGGCGGGTTCAAACCGCAAATCAAACCGTCAACCGAACCGCGAGAACCCCTAATATTTTGTTTGATATTTTTTCATACGCATCGGGTACATGAAACATGTATTTAATTTTTTTTCTTTTTTTGTGTACCCAAATGTACCTAGTATATACCAAAACTATACCATACCTCAGTTAAAAGAATATTTTCTTCTACTAC